CCCCAGCGCGCTCCTCACCTCTGTTCTGATGTAACCTCCTGAGATCAGGGACAGTTTCTGTTGTTCAATTGTGTTGGAGGCATCCTTGGCGCATAGTAGGCACTCAGTTAATATTGGCTGTTGGAGTGAGTGGTAAGTCCTTATGTGAAAACGGTACGTAGCCAAACAGGGATGGTGTCCCTCCCATGCCTGCAAGGCCCATGGAGGAGGTTGGGAAGGAATCAGGCGAGCCCTAGGCACCTGTGAAGACCTTCATGGGGCATGCTCAAATTCAGACCCCAAACCAGGTGAGCGTTACACCCAAATGGCCCAAACTAGGCCCAGGTGGACTTAATTCAGCCAGTGGGGTCAACCAAACCTTCCACCACGCCTCCCCAGCCAGAGGGTTGAAGCGCCTCTTTTAACCCTGCTCCTGTGCCCACTCGGCCTCAGGCCACCCCGTGTGGGCGTGCAGTCCCACAAGGTTGCCCGTGTTCAGATGTGGGTCCCAGCATGGCTTCTTGACCCTGTTCCGTTGCGGGCCCCAGCACGGCCTCAGCGCCGTGTTTGGTACGCTTCCCTGAAATAACGTGTACTCTTTTGTAAAACCTGAAACTTCTCCCATTCTTCATAAAAACCCACTTGGATTACAAACAGGCTTTGGTGTGAATTCTTTCTCATGCGAAGCCAAGAACTGAAGTATTTCCCACTCGAGAAACCTCACGAAAAGACAGATGCAGCAGAAACCATGTACATGATGCTTCCGATTGTATATTAGTCTTTCATATTCTCTGTATCAGTATAACAGTCCCTGTTGAGTCAGATCCAATCCATGTCAACCCCATGTGCGTGAAGTGCTCTGCAAGGGCTGGGGAGAGGCACTGGTCAGACTGTCTGTCTGTCTCTGGGTGAACTGGAAGCACCCGCCTTTCAGCTGTGGTGGGGAGTGTTCACCACGCACCAGGAGGGGCTCCTGGTTACAGAGCGTCTGCAGCAAAACCCAGCTTGTGGTTTGTCACAGAAAGAACTGCTCTGCTAACCACGAGACGCTCGGGAGGGAGGGTCCACTGGCTGTACTTTTCCATATTAATGAAAACAAAACAACATTCTATTGTGATTTAGGTGCAAGTTCATGGAGCAAATTTGTTTCCCGTTCAATCGTTTCTACACGTTTTGTTCCACACGGTTGCAAAGCCCTCCGCGTACTCGCTCCATTTCTTCCCTAGCTTCGCCATATCCCTTTGCCCATCTTTCCTGCCTTGCCCCTAGACACTTACTCTCTCTCATCCAGCCAAAGAGGAAGCAGGAAAATCCCAAACCTCATGCCCATGAACAAACCTTTGCATCCTGGACAGCGATCGAAAACCCCAAGTCAACGGAACGAAGTCTAGAGCTACCTCCACGGGCACCCTTGCCCAATCTGTTTTACCCGCTACGTCCAGATTCACCCTAAAGCTGGGCACAATGGCTGGGGCTGGTGCCCGGTGTGTTCCTCAGCCTGGTTCCAGCGTCTCTGGTCCAGGCCATGGACCGAGGAATGCTGAGCTGCCCTAGAGCGTGGCAGGGAACCTCACTAGCATGGCTGCCCTTGAAGATGCAGCGCGTCAGCCTAGCAGAGAGGAGGGACATTGTCGTCAAAAGGGACAAAAGTGGCAGCACAGCAGATCACATTCGGTGTGCAATGGGGGCCGAGGAGCAGTGAGAGCACCCCCTCCTACAGCGCGTGTTCTCGGCAGGGTGGTAATGGCAGGAAAACAGTGAAATGGCCAGGTAAATCAGTCCCAAGAGGGACAGGTTACCCAGCCATGTTTAGCACCGGCTATATTGGGGTATGGAAATACGACAGGTTTCCCTCTCCCAGGACCCAAACCCATGTGGCTGCTCCTCCTCAGGGCCGCCCCTGTGTTGGAATGGAAAGCCCCATGGGGCTCTCCCCACTGTCCTCTTCACAGAAGCAGATGGCCGGTTCTTCCTTCCACGGGACCACTGGGTGGGCTCAAAGGCCAAGCGCAAAGGGCTCCCACCGCCCAGGCTGTATCATAAACCGATCAGCCATCGCTGGTCTCACTCTCGGTTGAAGGCGTTGGCCCTGTTCTCTAGAACTGACTCATCCGCCAGCAGGTCCACTGACTCTGGGGGGCAGTGCCTGGTCGTGAGGCAGGCTACAAAGTAGCAGCTTCTGTGGTGTCTGAGCTCTCTGGATCGGATCTCCCCTCAGGCCAGAGGCTGAGCAGCAGGGTCCCCGACCTCCCTCCATTTTCTGCACTTCATGGCCTCCTGCCCTGCCCTGGGCTTCCAGCAGACACGTCACCCTCTCCCTGAGGCTTCTCCCCACCCCTTCTTCTGAGAGACAGGCAGTCCTGAAGAGAGGTAACCTTTCCCTGAAAGGTATGTATACCAGTCGGAGGTGTCAAAGGTGTTATCAGTCGCCTTGCCTGTTTCTCAAAAGCTTGAGAAAATGCAGTCTTTGAATCCGTTCTTTCACCCACCTTCCCCTCCCTCCTCACCTCCACCCCTGCCTAAAAAAACATGTCAGCACCTGGTGGAACCCTTTTATTATTTTGAGTATATAATACGGTCACATGTTTCCAAATTCAAAATGTACGAAAGGATATATAGTGCCAAGTCCCCACCATGCGCTTCCCTCCCCAGAGACAACAGAGGAAGGGCCCCAGTTAACTCCCGAATGTATGTGTACACCTGTATATATCGGCAGATATGTTTTTACCTTCTCCTCCTCTCTAAAACGCCAGCGGGACACGCATGACCACTCTTGCACGTTCCTCCGAGAGCAGGCACACGGTTCCGTTTCCCAAGAGCTCGTGGCGTTCCACTGGTAAGGCCGGACTGAACGGAAGCGTGCCTCTGCTGTTCCTGATCTCCCACTATCTGTACTCATCCGGAATCCGCCTCCCAGCAGGGACGGCACTGGGGAAGGGGTAGCCCTGGAGGCTGGGTCCACGCAGGGCAGCCCCTGCTCCCTGGAGGCCGTGGCCCGTCTGCGGGCCTGCGAGTGTTGGGACGCTCCAGGGGGCTTCCGCTTCCCACCAGGGGTCATCTCATCCTCTCACAGGGACTGCGGCAGAGTAGAGGCCATGG